AAGGTCTTCGCCCCATCTATAAGACATTTCACTTCAGGATGATTCCCCTAAGGGCAACAATAAAGCAGGTGCTGCTAGGCGCATCAGGCGCGTCCAAGCCCTGGGAGCACTGACACCCGCGCACACCTGGCTTGGTCACAAGTACCCGGGCGGCGCCGTCTTTTTTTTTTTTTTAACAAAAGTTTACTACAGCTTCAAGACAACACTTCATTCTACCTATAGGTGGTAAAATAAGTTATGGCAGAGAAGAGATGCTTAAATATGAATGGAATCAAGAGTCATCATTGCTTCAGAAACAAGGAACAGTTTGCTTTTTGCCAGATTTCTTAATTCTACCTTGTGTCCAGGGGGCCTTTCCCCTCGGACTTTGCTTTTAGCTCCCTGAGTTTCTTCTACTCTTTTTGTTTCTGCTTGAAAGGTTTATCTTTCTTTGTCTGTTTCTTGGGCCGTTTCAAGGACTGCTTTGCTGTTTGTCCCCTTTTTAATGGAATTCTTTTTTTTCTTGATTTGTTTGAGTTCCTTGTAGATTCTAGATATTAGTCTTTTCGCTGGATGGACAGTTTGAGAATATTTTCTCCCATTCCATAGGTTGCATGTTTACACTGTTGATTACTTCTTTTGCTGTGCAGAAGCTTTTTACTTTAATTAAATTGTACTTATTTATTTTTGGTTTTGCTGCATTTACTTTTGGGGTCTTAGACATAAATTCTTTGCCTAGGTCAGTGTCCAGAAGAGTTTTGCCTAGGCTTTTCTTCCAGAATTTTTATGGTTTCAGGTCTAACATTTAAAGTTTTTTATCCATCTTAATTCGTTTTTGTATATAAGAGACAGGGATTCAGTTGCATTTTCTGCATGTGACTATCCAATTTTCCCAACACCATTTATTAAATAGATCAATTATCCCATTTTAGAACAGGAATAATTAATAACTTATTTATATGAATATAATTTTAATAATGTTCCCTAAGTATTTAGTAATTAAGGTTTCCTTCAAACCCAAATTAATAAACATAGATATTTTTGTTAATCTAAATAACAAAAACATGAATTTATTCATGTATGTATATATATATGTATATTAGGTTAATCTTCTATAATTTAATTTTTTTTCTTTTAAAAAATTTTTATTTTATTTTAGAGGTGGGGCGCAATTCAGGGTTAGGTATACAAATGTTCATTATGCAGGTACCCTTGTTGATGAGGTGTGTCCCCCCTCCCCTGGCAGTTTCCCACTACTCCAAATCCCTTTCTTATAATATTATGATAATTGTTCAAGGTTTGCTTGTGAGTGAGAACATGTGCTACTCGGTTCTTTGTTTCTGTGCTATATCACTCAGTATTATAGACTCTAAGTCCAACCAAGTTGCTGCAAAGCTCAAAGTTTTGTCCTTCTTTATGGCTGCATAATATTCCATCATGTCTATGTACCATATTTTTAAAACTCCAGTCCTCTTTTGATGGGCAGCATGGTTGGTTCCATGATTTTGCTTGTCATTTCATATGCAGCTTTTCATGACGTTGGTTATAATCTGGTAGCTACAGGACCATGCTTACCTATTCACTCATTGATTCATTGATCCATTTCATAAATATCAAACACTTACAAGGTGCCTGGGGCCGTTCCAGGTACTTGGCATACATAAATGAACAAATCAAAGAAGATCCTGCCCTCCTGCTACATTCCAGCATGAGGAGACAGAAAATAAGCAATGAATTAACAAGTAAATGATATAAAACATTGAAGGTGATAGCGTCAGTGAAAAAATGGGATCAGGAGTGTCTGAAGGGGGCAGTTTGAAGTATTAACGAGGATGGTCAGGGTGGAATTCATTGTAAAGATGAGAACTGAGCAAAAACTTGAAGGCGATATTGACATGACAATATCTGCTGGTAGCAGAAGAACTAGCATCCAGGCTATGCCTATTTGAGGTGAGAAGGCCTGTGTAGCTGGAGTGGAGTGAGCCAAAGGAAGAAGAGCAGGAGGTGAGATCAGAGAGGCTGTGGAGGGCTAGACCAGGTAAGGCTTTTGGGACTATTGGAAAGATTTCGTGATCCACTGGAGAGTTTGAGTTGGGGTTTTAAAAAGCACTTTGGGCCAGGTGTGGCAGCTCATATCTATAGTCTCGGCACTTTGGGAGTCTGAGGAAAGAGAATCATTTGAGCCCAGGAGTTGGAGATTAGCATGGGTAACATAGCAAGACCTCGTCTCTACAAATAATAATTTTAAAAGAGCTGGGCATGATGGTGTGTGCCTGTAGTCCCTGCTGCTTGGGAGGCTAAAGCGAAAGGATTGCCTGAGCCCAGGAGGTTGAGACTGAGTTGAGCTGTGATTGTGCCACTGCACTCCAGCCTGGGTGACAGAGTGAGATTTCGGCTCAAAACAAAAACAAAAACAAAAGCAAAAGACCACTCTGACTCCTGTGTGAAATTCTAATGGGGCATGGGTGGAAACGGAACGACTTGTAAAAAGCTATTGTAGCACTTTGGGAGGCTGAGGCAGGAGGACTGTCTAAGGCCTGGGGTTTGAGATCAGCCTAGGCAACATAGAGAAATCCTGTCTCTACAAAAAATAAAAAAATTAGCCTGGCATGGTGGCATGTGCCTATAGTTCTACCTACTCATGAGGCTGAAGGGGGAGGCTCACTTGAGCCCAGGAGTTCAAAGCTACAGTGAGCTGTGATCATGCCACTGCACTCCAGTCTGGGCAAAAGAGCAAGACCCTATAATGGCTAATAGAAGGAGGGTGGCATTAGAGGTGAGAAGTGATTGAATTCGGATATGTTTTTAATCTAGAGTCAATATCCTAATGACTTAGATATATGATATGAGAGAAGTATTAATAAAAGGGCCAAGGATGCCCCAAAATATTTTTTAGAAGAGCATCTAAAAAGATACTCTACTAATCCATCAATTAAACTAATTGGATTAGATTAGG